GGTTCGTGGCCGGGTTGGAGTGGGACACGGACAGGAAGACCGAAGGGGTGCAGCTGTGCCAGTGGGTGATGGCGGCGGCGCCGGGGTATCCGGCGGTGCGCGAGGCGGTGGAGAGGGTGGTGGAGCGGATCGAGGCGGCGAGCGACGCGCAGCTGGGGAGCGTCGACGAGGGCGTCGTCGGCGTCACGGGACCCGTGCCGTGGACCGCCGCCGTGACGGCGTACCTCGAGCGTGGAGGCGGCGGCGGCGACGGGAACGGCGGCTGGGATCTGCAGGCCGAGTGCGCGCGGCGCGGCGGCCTGCGCACGGGAGGGGTAAGGCTTGGCGATGTGGCGGTGCTGGGCATCACGTCGTTCTCGCCGTACCACGCGCACGCCGGCGGCGTGGACCACCCGCACGCGCTGGTCGAGCACAAGTTTGCCGGCGTGTGGGGCGGGGGTTGGAAGGGGAATGAGTGAGGGTGTACTGGGGTTGACGGGTGTGAGAGTCAGTCCACCACCCAAAAAGCAAACGCGCGAACAGAGATCAGCTTCACACACAAAGTTCGTTAATTCAAGTCATCAGGCATTGGGTGTTGCAGGCAGTTAAGAGAGAAATTATAAAACTTAAAACTTGGGTAAAGATGGACTCTGGCAAGCACGCGAATTGAAAGTTCCGATCCCTCACATAACGTCAACGTCAACCAGACACACACACCTCACTCAGATCCCGACGCGCTCGCCCCACCACCGCACAAACCGCTTCGGTTCCCTCGCAAACATGTCCATGGCGACCTGCGCAACGTCCGACCGCCCCACCCACTCTGCAAACGGCGCCCACGGCTCCTTCGGCCCGTCCGGCCGCAATCCGATTTCCCTTTCCGCCTCCTCTTCAGACTCCCCGTCGCCCTCCTCATCCTCCTCCTCCTCCACGGCCCCCCTCCACACCCCGACCTCCCGCTCCCACCGCGCGCACAGCTCGCGCAGCACGCGCACCGCCGCGCGCGACGACCGCCACCCGCCACCGCTCTCGCCAGAGTCCGATGCCGACGAAGCAGTCCCAAGCGGACACAGCAGATCCAGCGCCTCGGCGAGCCCCGCCGCCGCGACGACGCCGTCATGCCGCACGTCGGCGACCCGGAACACTTGCATCCCTCCTCCCCCTCCTCCACCGCGGCGAGGGGCGCCAGCGCTCACCGGCTCAACACCGCCAACGGCGGCCGCCGCCGCGCCGACCGTCCGTCTGAGGACGTCCGCGACCGGCCCGCGGCCGCCCACGTCCAGCGCGGCCTCGACGGCGACGCCAAAGCGGACGCGCTTGGTTTCCCAGACGTGCAGGAACGCCGCCGGTTTTCCACCGTCACCGTCGTCGTCGTCGTCGTGGATCTCGTTGAAACCGGGGCGGCATCGGAGGACAATGTGTTTTGCGACGACGTCGGGGCGGACGGGGCCGCAGCGGACGAGGGTGGCGAGGGGGAGGAGCGGGGCGTCGGGGCCGGGGTCGCCGCCGTTGGCGACGCAGGCGCGGTGCTCGAGGCGGGCGCGGAGGGTCGCGAGGGCGGGGTGGACGGGCGGGGTGGTGGGTGGTAGTGGTGGCGAGAGTAGGAGGCGGCGGTGGAGCGGGGAGGACGGGTGGTCTGGCGGGGAGGAGGACGGGGAGGATGGCGGGGACGGCAGGTCGTGGAGGAGGGGCGGCGGCGGTGGGCAGTCGTGGACGGCGGTGGTGGTGGAGGGAGCGTCGACGATGATGCGATTGACGGCGGCGGCAAAGATGCGCAGCGGGGAGGCTGCGACGGCGGCGCGGCGCACGTCCCTGGAGACGCGGGAGAGGGCGTGGGCGGAGCGGGCGTCGCAGTGCGGGAGGATGTGGGCGAAGGGGAGGAGGGGGAAGAGCATGTTTGCTCGTGACGGCGCGGTCTGGTCGGACGACCAGGCGTTGTTGTGGTGGTCCATTGCTGCTGCTGCGTAACGAATGGATGGATGGATGGATGGATGGATGGATGGATGGATGGATGGATGGATCGATGGAGAGGGAAGGGACAAAAGAAGACGAAGGAGGTATTAATATCTATGTAACTACGGCGTGAGTGGCGAGAGAAAGAGAGGGGATCGAGAGAGAGAGTGGACCCGGTCTTGTGCCCTTGTGACTCGGAATGAATGATTGAACGATTGAACGATTGAACAGTTGAATTGTCGGGAAACGTCATGAGCACGAGAGAAGAAGCCGGAAACTTCCGACAGGAAAGGGAGAGCGGGCAGACAGACAGACAGACAGACAGACAGACAGATAGACAGCCAGACAGACAGACACTGCTGGCGTCACCGGCGCTCAATATGTGTATGGCTACATGAACCCCCCGACCCGCGTGTGGAGCGGACACCACCAACCACAACCACACAAACGCATTCACCTGAGCGAGGCCCCGGCGGTGGAGAGGGAGGGAGCGAGAACGCAACGTCGCGCTCCGATCGAGGACCAAATATCCATGCTCGGGAAAAAAAATAAGAGAGAGAGAGAAATGCAGGACACACAGCCGGCGGCGTTGACCGACCAGGACGCAAGTGTGGGGGCGGATAGGGATAGAAAAACGAAGGAGGTAACAAGAGGTCACGAGGCGAGAGGTACGGGGACCGGCGGGGGAGAGCGAAAATGGGAAGTTGACCAAAAGAAGAAAGAGATGCCAAAAAAAACCCCCCCTAGTACCCAGCACCGCCCCCCACCCCGCACTTCACTCTCCAAACCACGCCCTCAGCACTCCGACCGCATTCAACGCCGCCACCGTCTCCGTCTCCATCGTCGACACGGCCGCCTCGAACGCGTTCACGTGCACGACCCCGCCACTTCCGCCCGCCGCGCGGTCCAGCACAACGTCGGGGTACCCCGTCTTTCCATCGGCGCCGTCGCCGTCGCCTCTCACGGGCGGCCGCAGCACCGGGTACGAGTCCCACTGGTACCGCCGGACGTCGCGCACGTCGCTGTAGACGCGGGCGAGGTACGCGTCGTCGAGGGCTACGTGCGAGAACAGCTTCGTGACGGCCAGGCCGACGGTGCCGTTGACGTCGGCTGGGTTGTACGCGTGGCGCACGCCGATCGAGTTGAAGCGCACGTCGGACGACGGCGTCGTCGTCGACGTCGCAGTAGTGAGGATGACGGAGGGCAGAGCGGAGCCGGCGGGGAGGTTGAAGAACTCGGGGTTCAGTACGCCCGTGACGAACGTGACGTGCAGGTGGATAAAGTCGATTGTTTTGGGCGCCGCGAGGCCCGTGAATTTGATCGAGCTTGACGCCTTTATTATTATTTTTTTTTTTTTCGTGGACAAGACCGTCAGTCGACGACCGCATCGAAAATATTAAAAACACACTGTGAAAATACCTTGTTGTTGGGAACAGCGAGCACGACAGCGTCAAACTCGCGGGTCACGCCCTTGCTGTCGGTCACGGCGTACGCCGTCTGCGCGACGCCGTCCGAGTTCTCAGAGGTCGTCACCTTGGCGATTTCGGTCACGGTGCGGTTCATTAGGATCTCGGCGAGACTGCGCAAGGCCATCTCCTTGAAGATCAGCTCGTTTCCGCCCTTGATCGACATGGTCTTGGTAAACATGGGAACGAGCGACACGAGAGCCGCCGCGGCGTTCAGGTCCAGGTTCTGCGCGTAGTTGACGCGGGAGAGGGACTTGTTTTGTGGGAAAAAGGGTACAGATGATGAAAAACCAGTGAGTCAAACACGTTATAAACAAAACCCGTATTTCACCTCAATCAGCTCGGTCACAAACGCCTCACCGACGCCGCCCCTCCGCAGCGCGTCCCGCCCCTCCAGCGCCGCCAACGCGTCCAACCCAAGCCTCTCGAGCATCCCCTCGACCGACTCCTCGGCCATCGGCAACGCGTCGCCCGCCTCGTACGCCCTCGCAAACCTCGCCGCGGCGTCCAACGCCATCCTCCTGCCCCTATACATCGACACGGCGCCCCACCTCCACAGGCCCTCGGCCGCGTTCCGCCAGGGCGCACCCGCACGGGTGCGGTACACGAACCGCGTGCCGTCAAAGACGCCCATCGTGCCGTCGGCTTTCCCTTCGTCGTCGTCGTTGCTGTCGAGCGCGAGGCCAAACTCGCGCGCGGCGGACAGGAGGTGGCGGTTGACGTCGACGAACATGGACGCGCCGGATTCGGCGCGGACGGTCGTATTCGCGACGAGGGAGGGGATGTCGACGAGGTGGGCGCGGCCGCCGACGCGGAGGGAGCGCTCGAAGGCGGTGACGGTGGCGTTGGGGAACCAGGTGGCGAGGAAGTAGGCGGTGGAGGCGCCCGCGGCGCCGAGGCCGACGACGGCGATGCGTGGGGTGGCGGAGGACGGGGTGGTGAAGCGGGGCGGGGAGGGGGGCGGTGCGGGCGGGGTCGCGGCGGGGGGCGCGGTGGTGGTGAAGTAGACGAGGGCGGCGGCGGTGGCGAGGGCGGCGAGCAGCGCGAGGAGGGACGCGAGGCCGCGGCGGCGCGGTCGAGGGCGAGGGGCGTCTTGCGTCGTCGTCGTGCGGCGATCTGCATCGGCATCGGAAGAGCCCCTCTGCTGCTGCAGCAGTTGCTGCTGTTGCGAGGGTGAGGATGCCCTGGCGGCGAGCGGCCGCGATCGGAGGAGTGGAGCGCGCTCGTCCGACGATGAGACTGCGGCGGCCCCTTGCTGCTGCTGCTTCGGCTGTGGCGGCTGTTGCGACGGCATCTTGGTTTGTTGGGATTGTTATTTTTGCTTGGGTTGGTTGAACATTGAACCAAGTTGGTTATTTGACTGCAGTTCGCGATGGGCCAGGTATTTCTTGACGCCCGGCCCCCAACGTTTTTTGCAGATCAGCGACAAAATGCTCGAGTCCTGCAGCTGCAGAAACAGCGAGTTGTGGACACGTTTGTCAAGAATACGGCGATTGATCGTGGTGGACTGGACACAATAGCATTTGCTTGGAAATAACTGCCTAATTCCTCTCGGACAATTGCCAAAGAAAACTCCGCAACCGAATGTAACAAGTTCCGATTCGCCCCAACGACGAATTGAACGCCGATTCCCACCGTGCAAGGTGTTGTCCTGACCATTAGACGACTGGGGCTCTAAGAACGAATAACTTCTTGTGAATAATTGTTAAAGGCGATGAATCACCTTTGGAACCACCACATTATGTTTTTCCAAGCAGCACCAACAAGCAACCAACTCGGCTGTCGAGAAAATATGATTTTTTAATATGCCTCGCTCGAAGGCTGACCAGGATGAAAGTGGGGCTTCCAACGGTCTTTGGAACCTTCCAGAGTTCGCTCCTATATTTATGAAATTTATCACTCAACGCAGCAGCCAAGGCACCGGTAAGGGCAATGTCCTGGCAATAAAGGCAAACATGAAGATGAGCAAAGAGGGCCATCAAGTGTATCCTTCCAAACAGATAAAAAATTAGTTAACACTAAATATCGCACGTCCAGCTGGCATTTTTTGCCGTCGGCTGCCCAACATCTCGGTACTTTGGCGCCCCGGTTCCCAGACAGTCCGCGACCGTCACCATCGACAGATTTTTGCTCTGCGCCCAGCTAATAATGAACGGCACCATGTCGGAGACGGTCTTCTTGATCTGGCTGTGCTGCAGGAAAATGTGCGGCACCGACAGATCCGCCTCGTTGTACGTCTGCTTCTCATTCTTCACGTCCGCCGACGTGCTCTGGTCCCTGCCGTTCGACGTCTCCTGCGGCGTCATGTCCCACAGCACAAAGTGCGTGTACCCGAGGTCCGCGACAATGTCCACCGACGTCTTGTTGTACGACCCGAACGGCGGCCGAAAGAAATTCGGCCGCGCGCCCGTAATCATCTTGACCGCGCTCTCCAGCAGCCCCATCTCGCGCCGCAGCTCGGCCTCGGACAGCGTGGCGATGTCCGGGTGGCTCCACGTGTGTGCGCCGATCTGGTGGCCGTCAGTGTAGGCGGCGAGGAGGGCCGCCGCGTGGTCGAAGATGCAGTCGGCGTTGTCGCCGTTGACGAAAAAGGTCGTGCGGGCGCCGGCGGCTTTGAAGGCGTTGGCGATCGTCGATATCGTCGTGTACGGCCCGTCGTCGAACGTGATGGCGACGGTCCCGGGCACCCGGCAGCCGTAGACGATGTTGATGTTGGGGTCCTGCGGGAAGCCGTCGCAGTCTCCGTATCGCTTGTCGCAGCCGGAGCTGACGCTGCAGCTGCTTGGCTCGCTACCGCACCAGCCGTACTCGCCGCAACAAAGGCCCTGGTAAAGGTTGGCAGGAGGGGAGGGGGTTGGTTGAAGTTGAAAACGTTAACACTTGACTTCACTAAACATGCGAAGAGAAACAAGCAGGAGGAAGCTTACAAGAGGACAAAGGCCATAAGAATCTCCACACTGTCCGGTCGTGGAGACAAAAGTTGGGCTGGCGCTTGCCGAGGATGTTGTTGTAGTTTGCGCAGAAGAGCTTGTGGTCTCCGTCGATGTGCTCGGTGGAGAAGAGCTCGTCGTGGGGCTTGCCGAGGAGGTGGTGGCGGAGCCACCGGAACTGGTCGTTTGTGAGGCGGTTGACGTGACCGACGTCGTCGGGCCAGACGTTATGGTCGTCGATGCCAAAGAGGAACCTTCCGATATGGTAGAAGATGTAGAAGCGAACGATGCGACCGTCGCACCCCCCGACGAGACGGACGACGTCGTGGCCGTCCTGGCGCTCGTGCACACCCCGTAATCCGACTGGCACCCGCTTCCGCAGTGATCGGGCGAGTTGCCGCAATACCCCCAGATGGAGCAGCAGAAACCGGGGTAGCAGCTCCCGACGTTTCTGCCGCAGAGGCCGTCGTTGTTGTGCGTCGTCTGGGGAGCTGGTGCAGGGAAGGGGGCTGGGTCGCGAGGGCTCAGGCGGTGGTTGCTGCTTGGAGGAGCAGGGACCGCGTTGGCTGTGAGCGCGAGTAGGGTCGCGACAAGGGTGATGGAGCCGGCGGCCATGGCTGCGCTTCCAAGCAGCGCGGCTGGTGACTGCGAGCCGGTGCAATGCTGGAGGTCCATCCTTGCCTTTGGGGCGCTGCGCGCCATCCTGCAGGGAGCCCGTTGGAGTAAACCAGGTCTATTCGCACAGGAGGGGAGGGTCGCTGGGACTCTTCTTTGAATAGGTTTGTTAGTTAGAAAGTCTCGGGGCTGCTCTTCTCCCTCGGCGGGGCATTTTTCTTCCTTCACGATTTCCACCCATCTCTGTCGCTCCGTCGGACATTCACCTTGTTGATCCGAGCTGCATATGGCAACTTTCACGACGCCAAATGGGGCGAAGGCAAAGACAGACGGAGCAGTCAGTGCGCTGCTTTGCTTTCACGCTTGGCCAGCTGCTGCCAGTGGCCAGGAGCTGGGCAGATCGAAGACCTCGCGCGTTAGGTCTGGATGCATGAGGGGCTGTGCCATTCGGGAAGCGGGGCTGGCTGTTCTTGGCGGCGGCGGCAAAGCCTCAAAATTTTTTCAGTTGGAGGCAGGCTCGCGCTTGGGCAAGGAGCACGCAATGGGGATCGGCCACGCAGGGATGTGAAGGTCCGAGTGTGATCCGTTCCGTTCCACGAAGCCCGCGCCATCTTGCTTTTGTTGTCCCCGAGGGCTTTGCAAAAACACACACACCACACACATTCAAACACCCGCCCGTGACCACCTTTTTTTTTTTTTTTTTTTTTTTTTTTTTTTTTTTTTGTTTGTTTGCTCGAATGGTAGCTGCAGCAAAGCCGAGCCAACGGGAACGGGATTTTGCTTTTCTGCCTGAAAAGCATGTTCTCTGTGCAGGGCCGGGCTGATCAGCGAGTCGAAGGTCGTGCGCCCCGCCGCCTTTGCCGTAGCGGGCTCATTCGACCCTGGGGAGGTGCTCCTTGAATGCGCGCGAGCCTGCCTGTTTGTGCTAGTTTGAACAAGTCCTCTGCTAGAAATTGACGTCGTGGGTCGTCGTTCATGTGCACAATAAAAGTCACTATACAAAAGCTCGTCGAACAGCTCACCGCAGAAAAAGAGTCAATGCGTCAAGTCAGTGCAGCAAGGCGCGGTAGATGAGGTGTTTGCTTTTTGTGTGGGCTTACCGGTCTGCTTCCCGGTGGTATGGCAAAATTACAGCCTCAAAGACCGACGGAAGCTCCCACTCTCATTCTCTTGATCAGTCTCCAAGCTAAGGTATATTTTAAAAAAATTTCTTTTTGATAAAACAGGTAATAAAAGTGGAATACTTGGGTGCCTGATGCTGCGAGGGAAAACAGGTTTTTCACACAAAGCAGCGGCTCAACATCCACGACAGTGAAGTGATGATAAAAAAAACGTCTTGGGTCCAAAAAGGCAAATACAAATTTCGAGCAAAGCGATCAAGCGTTTACTTCCAAAAAGGCTAGATAACACTATATGTCGCATGTCCAGCTATCATTTTTTGCCGTCGGCTGCCCTATATCTCGGTACTTTGGTATCCCGGTCCCCAGACAGTCCGCCACTGTCACCATCTTCAGCTTTTTGCTCTGCGCCCAGTTAATAATGAATGGAACCATGTCCGAGACGGTCTTCCTGATCTGGCTGTGCTGCAGGAAAATATGCGGGACCGACAGATCCGCGTTGTTGTACGTCTTCTTTTCGTTCTTCACGTCCGCCGACGTGCTCTGGCCCCTATTGTTCGACAGCTCCTGCGGCGTCATGTCCCACAGCACAAAGTGCGTGTACCCGAGGTCCGCGACAATGTCCACCGACGTCTTGTTGTACGACCCGAACGGCGGCCGGAAAAAATTCGGCCGCGCGCCCGTGATCATCTTGACCGCGCTCTCCAGCAGCCCCATCTCGCGCCGCAGCTCGGCCTCGGACAGCGTGGTGATGTCCGGGTGGCTCCACGTGTGTGCGCCGATCTGGTGGCCGTCGTCGTAGGCGGCCTTGAGGGCGGCCGCGTGGTCGAAGATGCAGTCTGCGTTGTCGCCGTTGACGAAAAAGGTTGTGTATCCGCCGGCGGCTTTGAAGGCGTTGGCGATCGTCGATATCGTCGTGTACGGCCCGTCGTCGAAGGTGATGGCGACGGTTTTGTCCACCTTGCAGCCGTAGACGATGTTGATCTTGGGATCTTGCGGGAAGCCGTCGCAGTCTCCATATCGCTTGTCGCAGCCAGAGCTTACTTTGCAGCTGCTAGGATCGCTGCCGCACCAGCCGTATTTGCCGCAGCAAAGGCCCTGGTGAAAGGGGTCGGAAGGTTGGGGAGGACGGGTAGTTGAGGTTGAAAACGTAAAAAAATCACTCGACTTTAGTGGACAAAAATTCAAAGAAACAAAGAGAGGGGGGCTTACGAGGGGACAAAGACCGTAAGTGGGTCCACACTGTCCGGTCGTCGAGACAAAATCGGGGATTGTGCCAGTCGAGGATGTTGTTGGAGTCCCTGTCGTGCTCGAAGACTTGGAGGTGCTGCCACTGGTAGTGGTGGTGGTCGATTTCGTATTTGTCGTACTACCAGTCGAGGTAGTTGCTGTACTGGTCGTACCACCAGTCGAGTTGGTTGTCGCACCTCCCGAAGAGCCTGAAGACGAGGTGGTGTTAGTGCCCGTGCACGCTCCGTAAGCAGACTGGCAACCGGTTCCACAGTGGTCCGTCGTGTTGCCACAGAAGCCCCAAGTCGAGCAGCAAAAGCCGGGGTAGCAGCTCCCGACGTTTTTCCCGCAGAGCCCGTTGTTGTTGGAAGCCGGTGCGGGGAAGGGGGCTGGGTCGCGAGGGTGCAGGTGGTTGGCGTTGCTGTTGCCGGAGGCAGGGGCCGCTTTGGCCACGTGTGGTCGGAGGAGGAGAACGAGGATGGCAGTGGTGGCGACGAGGGCGATGGCCTTCGCTGAGCGCCTTTGCACCGCCGCTTGTGGAAGCCGCGTGGAGCCGTGCTGGTGGTAATGCCTTCTTGCCGTTGGAGTGGTGATGGTACACTCCATCATGCAGTTTTGAGTGTGAGCCTGCCAATTTGGTTGATGGAAAGGTCCGCTAAAGTTGCAGAAACGAAGGTTTAGTTCTTTTTATCTGCCCTCGCGGCTTAAGAGCGGAAATAATGCCGCTTATATAGTGAAAGTGCAAAATGCCCAATTTAGGGTTATCTACTGAGGGGGTAG